CACGGGAGCGGGAAGATTGTCCCCCACGCGCTGCCGTACCCAGCCGTGGACGCTGGACCTGAGGCAGCCGCTAGGGGCGCAGTGGCCGGAGGCTGGAGGGGGGCGAGGCTTCAGAGGCTCCCGGTGCGCAAGCGCGGGGGTGTAGCCCGCTTCGCGCGCCAAATTTGGGTAGCTCGAGCGGCCCCTGGCGGACGTGTGCGGCGCAGCACCTGGGCCGGCGAGCAAGCGCTTACCAATCCCTAGTCCCCTGGCATCCTCCGCTGGGCGGGGCCGGGAAACTGGGTCTCGGGCGCCGGCTGGAGCAGGGGACTTCCACATGCGGACTAATCCAGGGCCACGCGTGCACACCGGCACATACCTGGCCCACATTTCTTTTGTGTACTGGAGTACAGATAACTGAAACTCGGGAAGATTAGGTAGTTTGTCAAAGGCTAACAGCTAGGAAGTAGCTACACTGAGATTGGTACCCAATCTCCAAGCTCCGAAACTAGCGCTCCGGACTACCCTACTGCCTAACCCAGAATCTCCCTAAAGAAAAGGAACGTTTCACTCCTCCATTCGGACAGGGCTGTGGTTCTCTACTCTGGCTGCATATCAGAATTACCCAATATATATTTTGAAAAATACATATTCCTGGCTTCTGCCTGGACTCGTTAAAACAATCTCGATGGTTAGAACACAGAAATCAGGGTTTGGGGAAAATTCCTCAGGTGAGTCATGAGTAGCAAGGTTTTCCAATCACTGGCTTAGGAACTACTTACACACATGCCTGTAAATGTTCATACATATATTTGTATGTGTGATTGTTAGGTTCACATGAGGATCCTAGGGGGAAATTATTATAGAGAACCTAACACAAGTGTCCCAACCAATACATTAATTCAACAAACATGTATTGGGCACAGATGCACTAGAGATTCAACAAGTAATCACATAAAATTGCTACTTTAGCCCGGCAGGGCAGGGCTCAGCGGTTGAGCATCCACCCAGGATCCAGGCAATCGGGGTTTGACTCCCCGTCAGGGCACATGCCCAGGTTGTGGGCTCAATCCCCAGTCGGGGACGTGCAGGAGGCAGCTGATCTATCACTCTCTCATCATTGATGTTTCTCTCTCTCTCTCTCCCTCTCCTTTCCTCTCTATGAAATCAATAAAGATATATTTTTTTTTTAAATTGCTACTTTTTGGACCAAGTACACTCTAGGGTATGTTAGTTATGGGCAGCTGCCCAATCTGCTGACAGTCCCTAGCACCTCCTATGGACCTCCTATGACTCATCGTTGTATTTATTTTGAGTGCCAAAGGAACACTCCCAAGGGTCAGGAGAAGTTTGCCCCAAATTGCAGTCTGCATGCAGTTGAAGACAGGCCAAATTAGAGACTAGCCCCTGGAAACGCGGGACTCATCTTTAGTGAAACAAACCCAAGAACACCAGGATTTTAGTCCTAGAACGACAATCTTCAGATGAGGCAACATGGTTGCCCAAGTAGCCTAAATTTTATCCTGATTTTCCACATTCTTTGGGGGTTTGCCCACTGCCTCATTACTCTGATCTAAGGAACACTCTTCTGGTCTTTAAAGCACTGGTCCAGGGGTGAACACTTTCTCCCTTGGTTCCTTTTAGGACAGCTGAAAAAGAACCTGGTATAAGATTATACTAGAATGACCTCAGGGAAGCTGGAGGAGTAGGAAGCATCTGGAATCCTTCTCTCCACCTAGATGACAACAACTGTACTGTCAGAAACTATGTGGACTATTTTGGGACTCTGAAGTCTATTTAAAAGCTTGCAGCTTCCAGGGGAAATCTTGGCTAGCACAGGTTCTGGCCAGCATTGTTTCATCCCAAATGACTGAAGCTGCTTCCAGGGAATTTAAAGAAATAACATTTTGGGGTATTTTTCCCCGCTCCCCTTTCCCCCCTCTGGCGAGCCAGACATTTAAGGATTAGGACATTCAAAAGCAACCACATGTACAGAGGAATTTAGAAAGCCACCACACATGCCCAGCAAAGACACAGGCTCAAATATGACCTAAGGAGACCGTAAGCTTTCACCTCAGACTAATCCCCACCACAAAGACACCTTTCAACAATCAAAAAAATAAATAAAATTAAAACCAGCAAATTCTGGGGAAAGAGGAGAATTTCATTTCCAGAGTTAACACATTAAGATTCAAATATCCAGTTTAAAAAAAATAATCACAGGCATACAAAGAAATAGTAAAGTGTGGCCCATTCAAAGGAATAAAATTAACTGATAAAAAATTACCCTGAAGAACCCCAGACATTGGATTTACTAAAGACATCAAGAGACTCAATGACCTAACGAAGATGTGGATAAAGTCAGGAAAACAACCTGTATACCAAATGGCTGTATCAATAAAGACAAAGACACTATCAAAAGAAACCAAATGGCCCTAGCCAGATTGCTCAGTGGTTAGAGCATTGACCCTCGAACTGAAGTGTCGTGGGTTCAATATGCTCACCACTGGGCCCTGGTCCCAGTGCGTGTGGGAGGCAAGCAATTAGTGTGTTTCTCTCACATCGATGTTTCTCTCACATCAATGTTTCTCTTTCTCTCCCTTCCACTGTCTCTGAAAAGCAATGGAAAAAATATCCTCAGATGAGGATTAAAATAGTAATATAATAACAATAATCAGAGTTCTAGAGATTGGTTACACAATAATGTGAATGTACTTAACACAACTATACATTTCATAATGGCTAACTTGGTAAATTTTATATTATGTTTAAAAAAATAAAAATAGGGAGTGACATAATCAACATAGCAGACTAACAGTTTTCTACAGACTTCCCCCAAAGACCATTGATTTAGACAATCACCCGTGGAGGAGAGTGCCTTTGTAGAACTCTGGGAGTCCAGCAGAGAAGCCCCAGCAAACCATTAGAGCAGAAACATCCAAGATTACACGCATTCAAGAGGGTAGGAAGAACAGTCTCACTTTATCCAATCACCCCTCTCCCAAGATGGCATAGCTCAGTGCCAAGAGAGATCTCCTTGGCCAGGGATTACTCTCATGGGGAAAACAGAGCATGTGAGGGATTTCCCAGCTTCCCCAGCTGTGCGGGAAGTCACCAAGAGAACCACTTCTTTCTCACCCCATCCAGAATACTGAGGTGTGCAGCACAACTGGGAAGCAGCTGGGAGAACAGCAGCCATCGCTTGCAGAGAGCATCAAAGGAATGTGGATCCTACTAACTGCTTCATGCACTGAATCTGGAAGCCCACCAGTGAACTACAGGAAATGCCTAACCTATGGATCCCCCAAACTGGCCCATGGGCACTCGCAATGTCCCGCACACCTCACCCACATCCTACAGCCAGCTCTCAGGCTCTCTGTGCATGCAGGAGATGGTGGTGGGAGTGAGGCTTTGCAGACAGCTAGTGAGCATGTGCAGAAAGCCCGCCTGACCACACTGTTGGGAGAAAGGACTTGAACTTGAGCATTCAGCATCGTTCAAGAGAAAATAAACGGGAGGCTGACAACACACAGCCTGGCTTTGCAGGATCAAAAGAAGGCATACAATCTTAAGACATCCCCCAACCCAAGAGGGAACAATAAGTGTGCAGCACACATTACATAGAAAAGGTCTAAGAAAGTCCCAGAATCCCCAACAAGGCTGCCAGAAGGTATTTTTCTCTGGAGCCAGGCAGTAAAGCCTACAGGAGGTGACACCTTCTTCAAATGCAAAGAGCAACACAAGACTTTGAGGAACATGAAAAATCAAGGAAACATGACACCACCAAAAGAACATAATAACCTTCCAGAAACTGACTCCGGGAAATGAAGATCTTCTATTTGCCCTATAAATAATTGAAAATAGTTGTTTTATGGATGGAAATTCAGTGAGCTACAAGAAAACACAGAAAGACACTTCAACAAAATCAGGAAAACAATACATGAACAAAATGGGAAGTTTAACCAAGAAATTATTTTTTTTAAAAGTCAAACAGAAATTCTGGAGCTGAAAAATAATACAAATAAAATGAATAAAATAAAATAATCATATAGAACATCAATGACAGGATCAAGCAGAAGAAAAAATGTGTAAGGTAGAAGACAGGTCATCCGAAATGACTTAGTCAGAGGAGAACAAAGCAAAAAGAATAAAAGAGTATAGAAGGCCCTTGAGAACTATGGGATACTCTTAAGAGAAACAAAGTGCATATTATTGTAGCCGCAGAGGAGAAGAGAAGAAAAAAGGAGCTGAAAGCTTTAAAATATAATGGCTAACTCCTGGCCGGTGTAATTGAATTGGTTGGGCATCCTCTGTGCACTGAAAGGTCGCTGGTTCTGTTCCCTGTCAGGGCACTTGCCTGGGCTGTGGGCCCAGTCCCCGGTCAGGTGCACACAGGAGGCAGCCAATCAATGTTTCTCTTTCACATCAATGTCTCTCCGCCCCATCAATAAACATATCGTCAGGAAAGGATTAAATAATACAAATTAAAAAAAGATTGTCAGCTGATTTCTCAACAGAAACCTTGCAGGCCAGAAGGGATTAGCAAGGAATATTCAAAGTGATGAAAAGCAAAAACCTACAACCAGGATTGCTCTACCCAGCAAAGCTGTCATTTAAAATCAAAGGACAGATAAAGAGCTTCCAAGACAAGAAAAAGCTAAAGGAGTTCATCACCACCAAACCAGTATCACATGAAATGTTAAAGGGTCTTCTTTAAGAAGAAAAAGATTTAAAAATATGAACAATAAAATGGCAATAAATACATATCTGTCAATAATTGAATCTGAAAAATAAAATAAGCGAACAAGCAGAACAGAAACAGACTCATAGATAAAGAGAATATTTTGACAATAGCCAGATAGGAGGGAGGTTGGTAGGGTGGGTGAAAAAGGTGAAGGGATTAGGGAGTGCAAATTGGTAGTTACAGAATAGGCACAGGGATGTGAAGTACAGCACAGGGAATACAGTCAATAATACTCTAATAACTATGTCTGGTGTCAGATGGTGGGAGGTTTATCAGGGCGATCACTTGGTAAGTTAGGTAATGTCTAAGCGCTGGGTGTACACCTGAAACTAATAATGTAAGTCAACCGTAATTGAAAAATAGAAGTAATTTAAAAATGGAAAAAAATAAAAATAAAGATTCATACTTATCCAAATACATACCCATGACCCTCATATGTACATGTATCAGGCACATTTGTTTAGGGCATATCTGGGAGGGAGAGAAACGGGAATGGAGTGAGGGAATGGAGAGGTAAAAAGGGTAAAGAGTCTTGATGGATAACAACGGTGCTGTGCTATGAACAGAAAAAATAATTAACCCTCTCTTTCTAAGG